GGTGTTCTTTGACCTCCCCCCATTTTTTGCATTGGAACTTGAAATCTATCTGTTATGATGATTATGATATCCTAATAGTTTCTAGAGGTTACCTTTTTACTTCTATAATACATGATGAGCATAAAAGTATTGAATTTTACTTGTTTGTGAGTGATAAAAGTGGAGAAGTTGCAAGTGGTAGTTGGAGGAAAGAGTTCACTTTGGAGGAAGTGGATCTTCTTCTTCGGCCTATGGCATACTAAAAAAAGGGGGATAAAATTATGCTGGGTTCAACGGAACCCAGTATTTGGGTTCTAAGAAGAAAGAGAAAGCAAGAGGGGAAAGAAGATGGATCAAGAGAGAGAAGAGGAACCTAGCAGATCTGGGTTCTAGGAAGAAAGAGAAAGCAAGAGGGGGAAAAAGATGGATCAAGAGGGAGAAGAGGAACCCAATAGATCTAGGTTCCAGGAAGAAAGAGAAAGCAAAAGGGGGAAGAAGATGGATTGAGAGGGAGAGGAGGAACCTAGCAGATTTGGGTTCCAAGAAGAAAGAGAAAGCAAGAAGAGGAAGAGGATGGATCGAGAGGGAAAGGAGGAACCTAGTAGATCTAGGTTCCAAGATGAAAGAGAAAGAGAGAGGGAGAAGAAGATGGATTGAGAGGGAAAGGTAATGTAAGTTTGTTGTTTTTTAATTTCTTTTTATTATAAATATAAATATTCATATGAGGTGACACTTTATTTATCCCATGTAATTTAATTATATAAGATATATTATTGTCACATTATTAAAAGAATTAAAAGAAAATATTATTTGGAATTATTTAACAGTCATATCATAGATAACTGATGGAAGGGTCAAAATTGTACAATTTTTAGAGTTAAAAAATAAAAAAAATTTTAAAAATTGTTAAGGGGTTAAAAAAAATGCAACATTATAACGTTAAGGGATCAAACTTAACATTTAACCAAATTTTAATGAATTCCTATTTTATAATCTAAATGTTATTTTGAGAAAGATAAAGTACTTATTTTTAATTTTGACTATTAATGCATACAGTACTTATGTAGATACATAGTGGATAACCATCAATATATGAAATAGATTTCCTTATGAAAGTAAAACAATTTAAAGTGCGAAAGTGATGTATGTTCTTTTTTTCTTTTGCTCTTACTTCTTCTAATCGAATTCATGCACGCAATTTACTTTTACGACAAACTTTAAACATACGTCAATTCACATGTTTTATCAAACC